TTACTGAAATTTTACTTCTAATTGTATTTTCAGTTTTGAAGATAGTCCTAATATTAAATTTTTTACCTACTCGTTTAATTTCATCTGAAAGTCCCGGAATAAATGGAATGAAAAGGTTCGTAATAGGTTTATTTTGATTTTATTTTGTTCGTGGGAATTCTATTTCGTTAAAACATTTTTCAATAAAAGAATTTGGATAATTATTGAAATTTAGAATTTCTTTTATAAATTGTTTTTCTTTGGAAAAATTAGATTTATTACAAATTATTTTTGCTCTATCATATTAAAAGCGTCAATATATTTCCAAGCTTTTTAATTATTCTAAATCGTGCCGGTTGAAGGTGACGCAACATAGAAGATAGAAGCTTATTGGCAGCCAGTGGGGAAATACCTACGTATAAATTGGCAAAAATTAAATAAAACTGCAAAAATGACCAAACATTCAAAATTTGTAAGATCAGCGACTGTGCTCGACCGATTTCACAAAAGAAATCCGAATTTTTTATAATTTCAATACTATCGGTTGCATTTAAAGTTGAACATGTCATTGGGCATTGTATTTTTAGGACTTTTAGCACAATTTTGTTTCCTTTATCAGTTTCTTTCACAAGCAAGACAAGTGATTTTATTAAAATTTGTCTTCAATGCAACATTCTTGAAAACAATGAATACTGATGTTGTGAAGTGAGGATATAAAATTAAAGCAAATTGTGCAGTCGCATGCTAAAACTCATGCAAACTGACTAAAGGAAATTGGTAATCCAAAAGGGGCGATAAGGGTTTACCTAAATTTATTTAAAAAGGCATACAATTAGCAATCTTGGACAAAAATTTACTTTTCCTCTCTACTAATCATCAGACGAACCTCGTTCGGCGTCTGCTTTCTTATCATTTAAACTATTTAACATTCTGATATACAACTAAAGGGAAATTGAGCTGTTGTGAGCTACTGATTGCTCGGCACATCTTGGGCAGTTTCGAGACTTTTTTCCTAATTCAGGTTATTAAGGCCAAACCTCAAACAGGAGAGACATCAAAGTTCAAAGAAAATAGTCCTTTTGAAGAAATCTGAGCAGTTTGATCATTAACCTTCCAATTCATTTGCAAAATTTTGAGTTCAAAAATACTTTAAAAAAATCGAGTTTACAGTCAAATTTGCCAGTAATTTTTGATACATTTATAGCAAAGTAGTTACTAATAACTGAAGCCGAAGTTTGAAGTTTGGGATTCCAGTTGATTGTTTGGAAACTGACCACATTTTTCTTTAAACGATATCAGTGGTTGAAAAACCCGAGAAACAAACAGTTTTTGTGTCAGTTAATCAAACGTCCTGGTCTTGGAAATGTGTGGATAAAATGACTCATCAATTAGAAATACGCAGCTTTTTTCCTTTTAAAGCTGACACTTGGTTATGCTAAATAATCATTTGTAAATGCTAAACTTTGCCAATTCGATGCAGAAAATGGTGTGAACTGAACTTATCAGACTAAAAACAGCAAATCAGGAAAACGCTCCAGAAAGGAAAAAATATTGATGCTGAAACGATGAAAAAAAACCAAGACTCTTCAAGAGTCTCACCAGTCTCTTGCAAACGCTAATTCGATATTGAACCGCACTAAATCTCTCATCGTAGCTCTCAAATACGCTAAGAAAATTGAATCGTTTTAAACGCTTAATTTGCTAACGATTCACTTTACGCAAAAAAACATAAAATTAGGAACCAAAGCTTTCAACAACTGGGACATAGATGAACATTGCTCAACATATTCCAGATTTAATTGGAACATTTGTTGTAAGATTTATTAAAATTGTTTTAATATTTAAAAAATTGGACTGTCTGCTGGAACTTTTCAAACAATGAAAATGTACGCGTCAATAATTTTGCATTACAATATAATTAAAATTGTGCTATTTTCGAAAACTTCAGATTTTACCATTAATCAGAAAAGCATACGGAAATCAAAGAGCAATCCACCTGAAATTATTTTATGGTTGTGTATTTGGTGGATATTGAATTAATTTCATTTTATTTTGAGCTGTGTTCTAAAGCAATTTTTGTAAGACTTTTGCTGCAAGACCAAGCCTAATTATCAACACTAACTCTCGTCAATTTTCTGAAAACTAGTTTGGAAAGTGATGCAAACAGCATTGAATTTGGAAAAACTGAAAATTTGATCGAAAAATTCAGTCCGTATTATTCAGATATTTACGCAAAACATCGAGGTTAATTGAAAACAAATACCTGTATTCTGGACATTCGCTTCTTAGTTGCGACCGTGCCTTTACTCAAATGAAGACACGAAAGAAGTGTCAAAATGAGAATCAACATTCAGCCCTTTATTGCTACAATGATTTGAAAGAAGCCTTTTGATTTTAACCAAGTGAAATATAAATAAAGCTAAATAGACCTAAATCGATGAAGAACATTCTAAAGAGTTAACATTCGTGCGGTATTAAATGAGTTGGAAGAGTTCCGTAGAAAAACGCTTAGATGGACTACTTCATGTTCTTTTTAGACCACTGCAGGCCAAATAATAGGAAATTTGGATTTCCCTGTCTAAAAAACTCATTTTTGCCCATAGTACAACTGGTTAAAAATATATTTAAAAAAAACGAAAGTTTTGTTTTTTCGGATATAAAAAATTGGCCTCAACTAACATGTCAGTAAATGTTGTCACGTTAGTTGAGGATCACGCTCTATACACAG